TTCGACACGTTTCAGCAAAGCATTTTGCGCAGGGCTTCGGAGCGTGAATTTATGGTCATGCTAGGGACGGACGACACTGTTGCTGCCTTCTTTGTAAGATTTAATTGACTCATGCTTCCAAGCCAACGCCAAAGCTGCCAGCTCATTACGGAATTCTTGACCGAGGGTTCTACCGTGGCGGTCCGTAAACAATGAACTGTGCCGATGTGGTGTGAGTTGCGGAAGGAAATATGCGTAATTTTAAATTTCATGGATTAAATAATCGGCGTATGTAGATAATGATCAGTTTCTTGAAAATTAAGTTAAAATATGCAAAGTTTAGAGATGTTCAGATTTTCGTAATGTTCTGTCGGTCAAAATTGTTGTAAAAAAAGTACCTTCCCTACCACATTATCAATTTTTTTTCCTCAAATCTCTGCTAGTGCTTTTCATACAGTTTATAATAAAAAAAAACCAATCATTTCTAATCTCCAAATAATGATAGTAAAATCAAAAATGGAATAAAGCATTCGATTTTATTTTTAGATAACGATTAATTTTGAATTAGGCAAAATAAAATGCACTTGTCAGTTTTTTTTCTTTGCCATATCGCTGTTAATGTAGAACGAAATCTTGCTGGGCTCTTTTCGTATTTGGTAGTGGATTGGGCGAAGAAGTTATCAAACATGTATTGAATCTCCTTATCGAAGGATTTGTTTATCAATTGGCTACGTCGTTGATGCTTTCGTAAACATATGTATGACGTGCCATGTGGCTCAAGAAAAAGTCTACCGCTACCGTCCGTATTTTTATTTCAAAATTAAATGGTTGATTATTTTTATTAAGGAGAGTTTCAGCCAAACGTTAAAGCCAAGGTTAAAATCTAATTTAAAAATCGAAGTAAAATAGATCCAATTGACCCAGTTTACTTTATTTATCACTCTTACTCACTTTAAACCCTATTTGGATGTTTAAAGCTTTTTTATTTGATTATAAAACAAAAATACGAACAGTTGCGAAATTACCAGTAAACAACCCTAGTCCCAAGCTTCACAATTGTCCGGAAAGTCTGAGGAAAGTATTAAATAGGGTTTGAACTTATTAATTAAAGCCATTGGAGGCAGGTTATTAAAATCGGGTAAGGGCATCGTTGTGTCAAATTGGTCGTAACACGTTTCGAGTATGAGAGAGTGATTGCAGTTTGCTCAAAAGTGCCTGAGCAAAATGCAAGTACTTTCGATGATTACCCGTTGTTGCAATACCCATGTAGCAATTCTGACTTTGTGAGGGTTGCATACACCAGGTCGTAAACTCGTAGAATGCTCTGAAACCTTCATAAAGTATACAATGCTGTTTGGGTAGTGACGATATGATTTTGAGTTAACGTTAAGATTAAGTCAAAACATTAAGAAATATAACGCATCACTTTGATAAATGCATCACTTCGCAACCGACGAACCATTCTGATAGCCTATGAGTACCCAAATGACCATACAGTCGTAATATAGCTTTATATATACTTAGTTTGCTCGAGTATGGCCAGTTGGGGAATCCGATAAAAATTATCACTTCTTGAAACTAATCCCGGTCGTATTTCTTTCTTTATTTCTTTCTTTCTGTTTGCACTTTCCATATAACACCATCACATACTAATCTTCACATTGATTCAATGATGCACGGAGCAGTGCTGTAAATTCTCAAAATCAATTGAACATTTTTGATGGAAATGGGAAAAGCAGCTATCCGCTATCAAAGGGGACCTCCTTCGAATGGGTGATATCAGTTCCTTAGTCAATTGACGAAGGCATGGATCATTCTCATTTGAAAAACGCTTGAGATCATTCAATTGAGTGTAACCTACACATAAACGGAGCTCTGGTCGACATTCCGGCGAAAAAGCTAAGCCTACCCGACACCAACCTGAGTTCTACCAAACTCCGACCCGACATGTTGATCCGACATTGACCCGACATTGACCCGACATAAACCCAAAATTGACCCGATCTTAAATTTGCCTTACATTGATCCAATATCGGGTCGACTTGTTTGTGCGGGACCATTTTGCTGGGTTTCTTCCATACTCCACTATCGTATATCAAATGATAGTGAGTGACTCAATTGACAGTGACGATGAGCTTCGAATGAGAAAGGGGCTCTTCAAATTATGGTCATGTGAGAATTCGTTTTCACAGAATTGATTGAATGGTTGTATTGGTTCATCTTCAATCGAATGATATGAAAATTAATAGCACTGGCACGGAGTGCACATTCCGAGTGCTCGGTAGTGCTAAAGAAGAGTAACATTGTACACGAGTTTCCTTTTAGAAGATCATGGGAATACAGTAAGGTAAGAAGAAAACAGAAGAGAACGAAGATCCGTGTACGGCGTTCGTTGCGAGTGATGAAGACGAAGTGTTTGGCGGAAGACAACAGACAAAAGCTAAAGGCTAAAGCTACTGGAGAAAATCGCGGAATAGAGAAGTTCGAAAAAGTTGATGATCACAGTGAAACAGACCAGTTTTGGTGAAATCATTCCATTTTTATCTATAAATTAGGAATTTGGGAAACGTTGGAGGCATTTGGTGAGATCCTTCAATTGTACTACATTATTTATACCAATCATTACATCAAATATGATTGTTAAATTAACTCTCACATAACTCGGAGCGTTTGGTACGGTATGTCCACGCATCCTTCCACCCCTGTTGATTCACGAAATGCATCGCTGTTTAAATACCTATATTTATTTAAACTCGTATCAGTTCATTGAATCATCTTTGCGGCAAATGCAACGCAGTAGGCCTGGCCGTTTTGATGTTTGTGTCATATCTCAGATATGCTGCAAACATCAATGTTGATAGGAAAAATGACTAGGCGTTATCTAACTTAATCATTTTCCAGGATATTTTCTCGTACTGGCCGCGTTTGTATTTGATTAGATTAGATTCGATTAGATTAGAGACAGGTTACCAAAAACAGACGCTAACAGTATTGCCATAAATAGGGTATACGTCCCTAACCTCGGTCTAATATGCAGCCATAGATTACGTTTTTAATCATAACTCATCAATTAATTTACCTGCAAACGATATTCTACTGCTAAATGGTATGCTTAGATATGCTTATCATGTCGTTTGCTATCAGGAACCGCAAAAAGTTGAAAAACTTACTTTTTTTAAGACAAAAACTCACCAGGGAAATGTATGTAATATCGGTCTATTGTCCCCAAATTGGGTCTATTTATGGATGCAACTTCGTCCTATCCTGTTTGATTCTCAAAAAAAACGCTCTTGGTAACGTTTTCTTATGTATTTTTTTTATCACTATCACTGTTAACTTAATACTCTTCATTCCTCAAAACATTTCTTAGAGAAAATTTTACGAAAACTACATTAAATCACTCAAGTTAAAAATTAAAAATTAAAAATTTCGCTTATCGTCTTTCGACCGCAGAATATCTAAATCAAAACATTGTGATGTTCATTATACAGATTTGGCAGAAAAAATCTCCCTTCCTGTTCGTTCCTTATCATCCAAATGCAAACCACATTGTTGACGTTACTCTTATTGCTATATGCTGTCAAATGAATTTCATGGGCCAAAGTTAGGAACATAGAAAAGAAATGTGTCCCTAAAGTTGGGTCCATGATTTACTTGTGAAAACGTTGTTAAACAATTAAAATAAACATAAAATATTCAAACAGTAACTGTGAGTTTTACGTCTAGTGTGTATTATCAGGTAATTCCATTCAATAAATGCCATAATCAGGCCATTTGATGATCGTCAGTGCAACCTTCCCATCTTAACCTTAGAAGTCATGGCGGCTAAAAACTCCGAACAGAGTGATATTCTCAACCAGTTTTATTACTTACGAGAGCTGAAAATGTATTGAAATGTTGTGATATAAATTGATTTGTGTGTGGTACACATTTATCAATCATCAGTGATCAATATTTTCCTTATTTTTTGTGTAATATTCCTTAATTAATTATTTATTTGCGTGATAGGCCGAATGAAAGGACTAGACCCACATTACATACCGTAACCCTATATTAATAACGTAGTTGTCTTGTGGACGCCGTGGCGCTCGTTGTAGCTAGATTTCCATGTCGTGCATAATGTTGCATGGCGTGCAACATATTTCATATCATGCAACATGTTTAATGCCACGCATCATTTTCCTTGTCACACAATATTTTCCTCATCGTGCAATATGATTCACACCATTTAGAGTATTTCAAGCTGAACAATGCATTAGGTCCTAAGTAATATTGACAGATTCTCTTCATCGACTTTCTCTTTGTTCCCCCACGGCCATGTAATGACATTCCCAGGTATTTTCAGCACACAGATCAATAAAAGAAGCTTTTATCTAGCATCTAATTCGACAAAAACAACCAGAAACGGTTATTTGCTCTAGTTATTTACGAAAGAGAAAGTTGACGAAGAGAATCGATCGATGTTACTTGGGACCTAATGCAATGTTCAGCTTGATTTCACTTCAACCACACATGAAAAAAAATGAATTTTACTGGTGATGCCGGTAAACTTCTTTTTCACGTGAACTAGTAACTTTCAAAGAAATGTTGCTTACAACATTGGACAGTTGCATACAATATATTGAATATTACACGACATGTCTCATAATGTAAACTTGTATGATATATGACGCTCCATTTGTGTGCATCATAGTACCGAAAAAATAAACTACTTTTTTAACTGAGCACCTCAAGATCTGTGATCTGTGGTCGTTGCGTCTTCTTGCCTTCGTTACACACGGAGATTGGGCTAATGTAATAAACATCAATAATGATTACGATAATTAATTGGTTGACTTTTTCCTACCCTCTGCACAAAACTCGCCAGAAATATAAAACAAGACGGTATCATCCTCCGATTTCATCGCTTAAACAAATTATTAACGACTCATTTCATGGGCACAATATTGATAATAAATGCATAAATATGAATGTTTATAAAAAAAACTCATGTCCATAATAAAAAAAAATCGCAGACTTACCTCCGCCGCCATCATTACTATGAGCCAGCAGCAGGGACGTCACAAGGCACAGTACCAGCACAGCCACGAAGGGCCTATGCAAGACACTCATATTTTCTCCACACAACAATTAATTCTTCACTTGTGTATCATGTAGTTCTCATTTAGATAAAATTATTACCACCTTAACGAACACTTTAAAATAGCACTAGCAGCAACCTATAATAATAAAAGCATCGAAAAAAGCAAACGGTAACATAAATATTTTTCTTTATCGATTTCAACACTTAAAACTTTTTATTTTCATCCTCGATCGCTGGGGTGCTGGGGCAGATTCCTTTCACTTTCTTGCCACGTAATCTACCGAAGCCAGGATCAGTAGTTTAACGTTCAACACCGAATGGCTTTATGACTGCTGTTTCTGTAGTACTACGGCGCAACCGTTACCGGAATTCACAGTCTGCTTCAATATTTGGCACTTTGAAACGGTCACTTAGCACCCGGAATCGACAATAATGTTTTTTTTTTTCTATAAATTTCAACAACAAGTTCTGGTTGATTTGTTATAGGACAAAAAGTAAACCCGGCATGACTTGCTTTGATCGGGACAGAGCAAAGTCACTCACACGAGAGCCACACACACTTGCGCGATTGAAATTTGATCGTTTTACCAGTAAATAGCTAATAATAGAGCCTCCCAGTCGAAGATCACTGCGCGTACCTCTACTAGCTAACAAGCATTGTTGATCGATACTCCAAAATAAAAAACAAAAAACAAAACTTAAAAGTTGTCACTCTGTTTCGCAGCTATCAGAAGGTTACTAAAAAATTGCATATTTATAATGTTGTTTGTCGAGCAATAGTGCAGAAATATCCTCAAAAAGCTTGCTGCTTCTCGTATTGGAATTGCTCCAATACGCTTGATTTTTTCTGTAACCTTTCTGGAAATATTAACTCGTGGGAAGTAAACAGTGTATGTAGGTAGCATTTAACGTGAGTTAAGAGTTTCAAGGCTAAAAGTTGGCAAGGAAAGCACCATTGACTTAAAAATTCACTTGAGGTAAGGAGGGATCTAAATATATTTTTAATAAACCCACAGTACTATACAACGTACATTACAGGTTTCAACATGCTTGAACTGCGTCACGCAAATGCTTCCCCAAACTGTGTAGGTAAATGCTGACAACGCACTTTCGATATCAATGCAACATTATGCAATTTGCTTTTTATTTTACAAGCCGAATCAAACCGGTTACAAAAATAGCTCGTTATCAGTGCAGGTTTTTGTCGGTCAAGAAGAATCTGAAATGAAAAGAGGAAAGAAAAGAAATTAGGTCGAAAATTAAAGTGTCTGATCGTATAAGAGCAGTGAACATCGATGTGTCTGTTTGGTTTGATGATTTGATTTGAAGTAATTGCCCAATCGTTTTGGCGGAATTTTTGTGTCTGATAGGGAAGCAAATCAGTGGAAATTATACGATTACAACTTGATTATATGTAACGCAGTATGGCATTTTTGGCAGATTTCCGTTATAATTTATCCACATACTCCTCAAACTAAATTTGACAGACACATGGTATTCCTCTTGAATCTTTATCAGCTAAAACAGGGTACATTTATGAATGTCGATCTTTTTTTGCCCTTTAGGTCTATTTTTCGGAGGGAACATTCATTAAGTACGTCACGCAAAATTGAGGTAAAATTAACAGCCTTGCTCTCCCCCTAAGTGCGAACAAAGTACACATAATGTGTCTTATGCATTGCTTGTTAATTATTTCTTAACCAAAATCCCCCGTCCTCTTTAGAAAGGGACGTGGGATTCCAAGTAACATTGCAAGATTTATCGAGGTTTTAAAGCATTCTACATGTCTACATAACGATCTACAGAACCCTCATGAAACCAAAATTGTTACTTGGGATGTACTTATTGCCTGCCTTCTACACACTACTAAAAAGTCATGTAAAGTTGAAAGAAACGTGAAAATCAATTCAATCAAACGTTCTCTTCGTCGACTAGCTGATGTTTCGTTTTGAGAACAGTTAATTTTACATGAAATGTTTGTTTACGTTCTATGATTTACGTCCAATATGGATTACGTCTCGTGTAAAAGTAGTTATTTCTAAGTGTGTATGTAAAAACATTCGCTAACGAAACCCAGGATCTTCACGAGGCGAGGAAGATCAAATGACAAACAAATAAATGTATCTTATACTAGCTGACCCGGCAAATGACGTACAACCTAGTTGTTTGATATATATATAGACCACACACTTAGAAAATTCATGTAAACCAGGGTTGCTTCCACTCACTTGCTATAAAAAAATGTTTTCCGGAATTATGAAATCATTAGATGTTATAATGGTTATTAGTACTTGAAGGTTAAAAGAAGGTATGTATTTGACACATAGCTCACTCTGAGTGAACGCTCACAAATCATAAGATCGCTGATTGTGACGCTCTGAAATCGAAATTGACAGGTTTTATGAGTCAAACACACGCTTTTCACTTTCTTCTTGTTACTTGCAAGTACAACATATCATTATATCATCTAATGATTTCATTATTCCGGAAAACAATTTTTTTATAGCAAGTGAGTGGAAGCAACCCTGATGTAAACTTAGGTGCTCTGAGACTGACATATACGAGCGTCAATTTTGACATAAAATTTAGTCATAATAGACGCGACATTCAGCTCAATCAAACGTACTTTCGAACTTTTCAGTCTCGGACCATTTCATTTTACACGACATGTTTGTTTACGTCTCATCCTTTATGTCAAAGATGGATTCTGTCACGTGTAAGATTAGGTATTTCTAAGTGTGCAGTAGGGGCCCAAGAACAACACAATAACACACCTCTTTCTTCCTACATGCCGCACCTGGTTTCCTTCCTGCTCCGTGCTTGTGATCCAATGTCAACCGGTCCTTGAAACTGTTTATTACTCTTGATATGGTTGAATTATTGACATAGAGTATTTTTCCTAAAGCACGATGGGACAGCTCCGGATTTTCCATGTGGACGTACAATTTTTTTTCAATTTTTTTCACTTGACTCACTTCCATCTTAGCCGCATCGAAACAGACCAGGCCAGTGAAAAGGCCTATACCAACAGCAGCGTTTGACAATAGGCAGCATGTCCCGGGCTCAAATCATTTATTTTGCTGTGCTGGGCCCGCTGTCACGGTATAACATGTTGCCTACGCACCTGCCACTGGGCTGAAACAGACAATAACGCAGCTAACAGGATGTAAACAATACACTTCAAAGAGTAGGAATAAAGATACAGCCAGTTGTAAGTGTTGCAATAATTTCGTGTTCGCGCTTTAAGCTCTTATTCAGCTTTCAATGTTTGTTGGGGTATTAGGCCCGCTTGCAAATGCTCATTACAGCTGAAATGCTATTTTTCGGATTTATGAAGCTATGAGATATTTTAATGATAATTCTTAGTTACAATATGCAAGAACAGAAAGTAAAGTGTGTGTATGATACATAAAACATGTCAATTTAGCTTTCAGAGGGTCACAATAGCGATTAGCTGTAACGATGAGCAACGCGATGAGCGAGCAATCAGCGATCATAAAATCGCTAGTTGTGACCTACTGAAAGCAAAATTGACAAATTTTATATGTCAAATACAAGCCTAACCACCTATTCTTGCATCTTACAAATAAAAATAATCATTATAGTATTCCATTGTTTCATAATACCGAAAAATAGCATTTTAGCTGTAATGAGCAATTGCAAGCTTGGTATTAGGATTTCGGTATGCAGGATTATTTTCATCTGCCGGTGGTGATTTTGCTGATGTATCCTTGGACTTGTAATGTTACACATGTTTAAACAGCAGTCGTTTCATCCATCGAAACGAAAAGTAAACTTATAATGCTACTATATTAACAGCATTTTTTTTAAAAAAAACTGTAGGTAGGGTTTTTGATCTTTTTTCCGTCCTACTAAGCACATCCCGCACTTTACCTCTCTTTTTTGAATGGCTTTGAAAAAAAACAACGTTTAATGTTTTCATCAAGGATAACTTCTAAATTTATTCACCTTTCCATTGGATTTAATAAAGAGTCAAACAATGTTGAGATATTATTAAAAATCTATCACTGCTTCTTGATTCTAAATTCGTCCCACGAGTTTCAATTCGGTCCTAACGCATTGAAACGCCATTAAATTTTCTTTGTCCTACGGATGATGGTAGAAAAAGTGGATTCGCTAGGAGCACTGTAATAGGCTTCATGTTGTGGCTTATGAACTAACGGATCGGAACAAACGTATTATTGATTTGTGCACGATTAAATCATTGATATTATTGATAATTTCTGCTCGATAGAACGGAAAATGGGCGATTACGACGAAGTAGCGCTCTTCCCTATCCGATGTGTTTTCATGTAGTTTAAAAAAATCGGTATTTTTTCCACCTCCGTTTCAGTTGAACGTTACGTTAATAACTTTCAAATTCAAATGAATTACCATCAAATGAACAACTCGGTCAAAAATTATATCTGGAAGGGTTTTTACTACGTAAAAAAACTAGGAAAACCTGGAATTCTCAGAAACTTTATTACTTCCCAGGAAATATAAAAATTCTCTAACCAAACAATGTTTTAAGAAAAGAAGCAATCTTCTCAGGAATGTCATAATATTGTATAATGCAATCATCTTTATTTTCTTTGTGTTTTACTCATTGAAATTACAAATTCTGAAAGTGGTTCGGTAGCTAAATGTGAAAAAAAAGACTAAAGATAACCATACTTGAAGATTTTAATAAGAATCTGAAAGGAATGATAACTAAATCAAGATGTTGGATATTGGAAATTTTCTTAGATTTGGAGTCCGGGATCTAGGAAAATTTCCAATGTCCAAATCATAAAAAAATACAAGAGTAAGATCCTTGCAAAATATTCAAGGCTGATGCACTTTGATGAATGTATTGCATGTATTATGAGCATTTCTAAGGAACTCCAGGGATAACTCCAAGAAAGTTCAGAGGATTGCTCTCAAGGTCGTTCGGATGTAACTTGCATTTTACAGGGTCATTCCAAGAAAAAATCATAGAGAATTCTAATTTCATGAAAATTCTGAAGATAATGCACAGGACAAATCAAAGGACAGTTCCAATGGAATGCTGAGAATAAATTCAATTCATTTCTGGAACGAAAATGTCACGTAAATTTTGGAACCCTGAGACCGACACATGCAAGCGGTTCAAAT